AAAGAGCGTGCACCAAAAGCAGCTGGTAAATTTATTAAAAAAAAAAAAGTTCAAGTTCTCCTTAAATGCCTGCAAGAACTAGGAAGCCACATGTCAAAATACCCTTATATTTCACGGGGAACAGAACTAAACCCTACTTTGAATAAGGACTGAAAAGAGTAGACAAAACCCCCAACAAACTCCTAGCAACTGCTGTGAGCAACATCCCTGAGCAGAAAACAGCCAGCACACTTATTTCCCCATCTCTTTTGACAGGGAGCAATGTCACTAGGTGTAACCAGAGTAATTTTAAGAAGAGAGAGGACCGTCAGAGGCAAATAGATCCAGGCACATTACGGGCCAGATCTGCTTTCTGTGCACTCTAAAAACTTGCAGAGCAGCCAAGAAGATGTTGGGGAATGCCTGGAATGCAGGATCGGGCCCGGGCTATATTTTATCCTAAAGGCCAGACTAACAACCAAAAGGCTTTCATCCCTGTGTTGCCTGAAGACACAGCCAAAACCAGAACATTAAAAAACAAAAAAAGACAGGGCTATGCAAGCCATGAAAACTAATGATGCTGTTTACATAAAGCAATTTCATCTCGAGGAGCCCTGAAAACATGTTAGAAATGTAAGCACCTACAGAGGGACCTCAGTGCCTGAGCCACGGAAAACCAGCCGCTTCGGAGTGAAATACAGCAGCTGTTCAACAGCACACGGCAGCACGACGGCCTCCAACTTTTAAGAGTTCCCTGGGTTGTTATGATGTCCTTTCTGCCAGAAACATGTTGTTCTGTTTAAAACCTGCCTGTCTAATCGCCAGCTAAAAAAAATAACTACAAAAAAAAAAAAATACTCGAAAAACGGAGAAGGCATGTTCTGACTCAAAGTAACATGAAAATGTTAAGTCCTGGGAACTTGCTGAACCACGGGCACATACCTCCCAGCCTGTCATTTCTGGACGGTCAGTCCAGCGCAACCGATAGCCCAGCAGTCCATGAGCTCGGGTATGCTGACAGTCACTCACTAGCCATACTGCTACAGCTTTTTCTAGTTTAGGACTAATCTCTTCAGGGTTTTCTCTTGTTCCCTAGAAGATTTTAAATCTGTTCAGGCTGACTCCTGCTCCACAGATGGAGCCGTAAACCAGGCAGTGAACCAGGCCCAGCATTTCTAAGAAA